ATGTATGTATGTATGTATGTATATACATATTTTAATCAACCATTTGATTCTACCCTTTTGACTTTGTTTGTTTAGTAATTGTTTATACTTTACATTAGCTTAATAAACTTTTGCACATCTCTCACACAAGTGTTGAGTTCTGTGGTGAACTGCTTGTATCAATGTAACTTTTATTATTTTGATTAAGCTGCATGCTCTAAGCTAAAGCATCTTCTGAAGAATTTTTATTTTTATGGTGCCACTAAAAATAACAACGACGATTATTACAATTTTTGCTGAATGTTTGTGGGATGAACTAGTTTGAACTTTTTTTATTAATTCTACACCAAATTCCACATATAATTACTTATGATTATTATTTTCATATTTCCCTATAAGCAAATATTGCTATACAGACCTTGCAGCTCATTGAGGGACCTGTTGTTGCTGCTGCAGTTGCTGCTGGTGCTACCTGCACCATGGCCTTGTAGAAGAGGCTGTGGGTGGGGAGGGCCAAACATGGAGTTTATCTGAGCACTGACTGGACCAGAAACAGAGCTCAAGACCTTGGGATTGGCTGAAGTTTGCTGGGTTGGTCTCTGCTGAAATGACTGACGGTTGGCTAATCGTTGACTCTCTGCTTGTTGATCTAAAACGTTAATGATTAATAGTTAATTCTGCTATTACATTAAAGACTTTACCCTCGGTTATAACACAGCAGTCTTTGGACAGAAATGCAGAGTGTCTTCAAATTAAGTCTGACCTTTAGTTAAGATTTATTTATGTTCAGCAAAGGTTTGTTTTAATTTATTACACGTAAAATAGTAACCCTTTACAAATGTCAAAATTTGATATGTAAGGGATAATGTAAAGCTATACTGGCTTATCAGATGTTGTATAAAACTGAAGGCTTTTATTCTACAGAAAACAATTTAACTGTTTTATACAAATTAAAGACACTTCAAAACATCAATAAAAACTATTATAAATAAAATGACTAAGATAACACTGGTTCTGCATTAGATGAGTGAGAAAGAAAGAAAAAGATCAAAGAAGCATCAATTCACCTCGATCATTTTCTCTTCTCCTTCTCCAAGAAAAACTCCTGGAATCAGTACCTTCAAGGAAAAGAAAAAATAAAACAAATAAATAAATAAATATATTAGTGCTGTCAAAATTAGTGCGCATGTGATTAATAACGCATGTGATTATTTGAAATAATGCATAAAAAAAAAATTAACACAGTTACAGTTTTTTTTTTTTATTTCCTGTTGTGGCCGTGGTGTGTTCAACATGCAAAGAAATATGGATAAGACCAAGGAAGCACTTTTTTAAGGCAAGTTTCAGTATAAAAAAAATTTAGGTCACATTACCAAGCTCTCCACCGTTTTCTCCTGAGTTTCATCTAATTTTGTATGTTTTATTTTTAACTTTCGACTTTTGTTTTAAATTTAATTTGATACCGCATGGCGAACGGAAAAAAAACCACCACATTTCGTGACTCGGTAGTCCTTTAAGGTAATCAAAAATCAATGTTTTACATGGTAGACTCTTAATAAGAGTATTATCTTAATTATATTAAAATCGCCCTCCAATGTTTCATTAAGTTTGACGTGTTTTCCGCTTTAACGCAAGTTTTGTAAAGTGTCTGCTTCACGTTGTTGTGTCAGAATCCTTAAGAATTACAGCCATACTTTAGAACGCTTAGTTTAAGAAAATTTGATAAACGTGATCATGCTTGTTGAATCTGAAGGGAGTGGCTCTGGCTGCGCTGTCCTGCACGCTGTGTATGCGTGTGTGTGTGTCTGTCTGTGAGCGCTTTGGTGTGACAACGCGTACCTGTATTTGCCACTGATGTACCGCTTGATACTTATTATGTCCTTGTCGCAGCACCAGTGGCCACAAAATTAGGCACTGAAATGCATATGCTGATTCAGTAATCTTGCTTGTGATCCTGCCTGTTCTCACTCTCAGCTCACATCATTCAAAACAAAAGGTCCACATTGTCCCCCGATAATGTCAACAGACTGGACTGTCTTAGCAACTATCTGAATGTAAAGGAGGACTAAGCAAAATTGTTTTTGCTTTATAATTAATGTTCTCAAATCACAGCAATACAACTTTTGAATGAGTACAATTGTTTGTATTCAATACATTATTATTACTATAATTTTCCATATTTGCAATGCCCGTACTTTGGTATTTTTTTGCAGTTCACTTAGAATCTAACTTGGAAATCAATGTTTTCTTTATTGGCATTGATTGTTTTAAAATTCAAATAGCACTAACATGCCTGTGTTTTTATTTCTGTAATAAATATGGCTGTAAAGCCAGGATCTTGATGGTTTATTGTGGGTATGTTGTTTACATGAAGAAATGTGTGTTATAAGTTGAACAAAAATTCTAATAATGAATTATATTTGGAATTTAAATATTTTTTGTCTTGTTTACATTACTTTTACATTTAAATAGCTAAAATTACAAGTTTTCAGTCTTTTTAATGTGGTGAAATCGGGTTGAAGGGGAGGAACGATAGATAGTAACTTTAAAAGCTGTTTGTCAATTTTACTAATTTGCGTGGGTGTTTATGGATGAGAAAACATGAATGCCACATCACCTGGCAGTTCGTTAGATTAGTTGTGTTTCATGTAACTGTTACCCGTTATGATATATGTATGTGTTTGATAAAATACTGTTCAAAAATCTAAATTAAAATTTCAAACTGACACGCAAAAGAAAACATACAAATAATACCTACTTTAAACCTTTTTTTTTGGAAAATACTAGTGGCTTAATGTTTTTTTTTTTTTGACGAAATCTGTATCCAAACTAGATTAGTATGGCCTGAACTGTTTGATGGGTGTACTTACATAATATTGATTTTATACATATTTAATAACTAAACAAAAGCATGGTTAATAAATTAAAGTTCATGAGTTTAGGTACAAAATAAAATGTAACATTCCACTATTTTTGAAATGACAAATACCATGAACTAACTTTTCTGGTAACTAAATTAGCTCAGTTTCACTCTTATTCTCTTTCTCACCATTGCTTTCTTGACTCTTAGTAGAAAAGATGAACCGATCGAGCTGACAGCGCAAGAAGTCTCTCTCCTCCTCCAGGTCTTCGATGCGTTTCTGCAACCATGAATTTTTCTCCAGAGAGATCTGCAGTTGTGTCCGCAAGTTAGTGATTAAGAGGTAGGAGCTGCTTGGTGCTGGTGGATCACCACCTGTTTAACAACAAGATCAAATATAATTACATAGCACTAATATTAGAGAATAGTTCACTCAAACTGAACATTCTTTGATCCTTTACCCATGTGTAATTTTGGACCCTAAAAAAAAAAAAGTTTTATGTTTGGAAAACAAATATGGACTATTTTTAGTATCCCATGACTATTTTCATAAATGCAAAATAATTAAATAAATAGTATCACTTTATTTTAATGATATTTGTTGTACATTTTAATGACTACATTGAATGATTACATTGAGATTACATTGCAACTATACACATTAGATTAATAGGCTGTGTGCTTAAAATCTGCTGATATTGCTTCACCAACAGGCACTCTCCTGAATATAATAAAGTTAACAAGTACATGTCCACTTGCACAAAACCTAACCCCAACCTTAAAGTCATTTTATACTCTGATAAAAAAAATTGTTGGCATATACTGTAGCCGCAATGCAAAGTATAATCAACAAAATGTGATAAAAGGACCATTAAAATAAAGTGATGCCAAATCTAAAATTTAACAAACTCAAAAATCACAAAACAAGATATAGCTTAATGGTCCGTGTACGTTTTGTTCATTTGTTTTCCATTTTAAAACGGAATAAAGAAAACGGAGAAAACGGCCGTTTTTCTTTTGCTTACGAGAAAACGAAAAAACGAGACTATGGCTGGATTTTCGTTTTTTTTGGTTTAGGGTAGGAAAACGAATAAACGACTTTAAAATTCATTTTACACATGTAGGCGGTGCTGAAACGCCCACTTTCACGTTCGCCCTCACAGGCTTTTATTTAATATTAGCCTATATATAAACTAAGTTTACATATTCTATCATTTGAAACACACACAGTTAGCAGGCGTTTGTTAGATGTTTGTCATTAAAATAAGGTCATAGTTCACTGCCAAGCTTCTTGCTGCTGTGCACCTGATGCTGAGCAAAGATAGCCATTTCCGAGCAGCACCTGGTTTACATGATTGTTTCATGGCTATTGTAGGCCTAAATAATACTCTATAAAATAATAATTTATTATTATTATTTTTATAATTATTATTATCATTATTAATATTATTATTTACTTAGTTATTACCTTAAATGATTTAACTTAAACTTTAAACTCCAAATTAACAAAATATGGCAAATAGGTGTTTATTAAATGGAGGTTAGGTGTTTATCTTAATTATAGTCATTAAATATTATGACATTATAATTCAGTGGTGTATTGGAGAGTATGCGCAGGCAACCCGTGAAAACGCTCTTTAAGATTTTAATGCAACACCAAAGTAGGTCTGACTTTATGTGATTATTTTGTTATTATATATATACATACATATATATACATATACATATATATATACACATATACATATATATATACATATATATACATGTATATACATATATATATAATAAAATAAATAAATAAATAAATTACAATAGGATCGGTGGATGTGCAATGAATAGTTTGACAACCCCTGGTTCAGACTATCAGACGAGCAATTTACAAATATATTAAATACAAAGGCTGGTTATTTTATGCAATGAGGGACAATATAGGCCTATTACAAATTAAAGAAAATTATTTGCATATTAAAACGAAAATATATAAGCTTTACAATAACAGATCCTACCTCGTAAGAAATGACTTTAGATAATGTAAACAAGCATCAAGTTTTATTTGAGATTGTGTCCTCTAATTCATTAGTGTAGCCATAAAAGAGACTGTGCATCAGAAATACTGGGTGCCTTATTTATTGTCAAAATAATGTGCAAAAAAAATAAAAAAAATTACTTATCACCAACCTTATATGTAAAATAAGCAGGGCCCGCTGTAGCACTTTCTCAAGAAGAGCAATGTCAAACTATTAGCGCAATGCACATGCAGCGAGCTCATCTGTTGTTTATCGGAACTACTAGGCACTATTTTTTATCAGCTATAATGTGTTTAATTAGTTCATTTGAAATTTATTTCATTATTTCAGCAAAAATTGTTGAGTGAAAGAATGCGCTAGAAATATGCATTACGGTTCACTTTATTGTACAGGCTGTACCTATTACAACTTTTTTAGGTTCGGCTCTCGAATTAGTAAGGTTATGAGTAAATGTTATTTAAAATATTTCGCATAACCTGCCATGTAGCCTACAATAACAGCAAATTACAAAAAATAATAAGACAGGCCTACTTTGGCGTTGCAATAAAATAGTATTAATTATCAAATAAATAAGTTCAATATATAATAAAAATATGAAGAAATAAAATAAAAACAAATAGTAACCTTTGTTTTTATAGCAGGGCCTAATGCGTTCTTATTCTGGTTCTGCTAACAACTATTAAAAAGAAAGAAAAACTAAACAATAAAAACACTAGTAAGTGATTATAATAATAATAATAATAATAATTATTATTATTATTGTTGTTATTATTATTAGTAGTAGTATTGTTGTTATTATTATTATTATAAAGCCCTTGCTCTGAAACAATCATACAAACCAGTTGCTGCTCGGAAATGGCTATCTTTGCTCAGCATCAGGTGCACAGCAGCAAGAAGCTTGGCAGTGAACTATGACCTTATTTTAATGACAAATGTCTAAGAATACTGCTAATTTACGTTTTTATTTATGTTATACATGCGCAATTAATGTAAGCCTGCAAACTGTGTGTGGTTCAAATAATAGAATATGTAAACTTAGTTTATATATAACTAAATAATAATAAATAAAAGCCAGCGTGCAAGGCTTTTATTTTGAGGGGGCGACATCACGAGCGCAGATTTGGTTGACCAATTAGAGGAAAGTGGGCGTTTCAGCACTGCCTACATGCGTAAAATGAATTTTAAAGTCGTTTATCCGTTTTCCTACCCTAAACCAAAAAACGAAAATCCAGCCAAAATCACGTTTTTTCGTTTTCTCGTGAGCAAAAGAAAAACGGAAAAACGGCCATTTTCTTTATTTCCTTTATTCCGTTTGAAAATGGAAAACAAATGAACAAAACGTACACGGACCCTTAATGTAGTTTATTCTGAAAAGACCCAATACATTTGGGATGACATTATATTCGTATACGGGTGTTTTTCAATTTTTGATCCATTTGAAATGTTGACTACTGTGTGTGTACGTGCATACCAAGAATATAAAAAAACATGAAAAAGTCCCACAGCACAAACACAAATAAAACATCAACAGCACAAAAGAATAAAACCACTGACATTTTTAAAATCACAAAAAACTGATAGCTAAAAATAATTACTTTTGTTCATAGACTTAATAAATGATAGATGATGGTTGACATGATATACCTTAGCATAGTTTTATTACTTATGATAAACATAAATAGTCCACATTAATATTTAAAGTTTCAATTATATTTACCGATTATAATTTTTCAGATTTGAATTCTGAATAAATACTGCCATTTTTATGATTTAAGTTTATAAGTTTATGAGGTCTAGAAATCCCACTTTTAAATATTCCCTCATACAGCTATGTTTTGCAAGATTGTGGGAATTGAGTTATTCAAAGAAAAAATATTTTGAGAGTAAATAAAACAAGCAATACAGTATTTAAATGGCTTTTATGTGCATTTAATCTCAGGACCTAAACCAAATTAACAAAAAAAAGAGTTTACAATATGAACTTAACTGACCCTCGAAGTTGTGGTCATTCTGGCTGTAAAAACCTCCTTGTTGCTCAAAATTGTTGTCTTCAAAGGGAATTGAAATTTCATATGTATCCTCATTCTTGGGAGCTAAAGAATAACGATTAGGATTAGTGAAAAGTAGAAGGCTTAATATTCTTCTGGGAAATTCACAGGTGCGAAGTTTTAGGTTTACAAATAAATTATGAATCAGTCCACATTAAGCATGTGCACTTACTCTGTAATTCTCGAGAGCTTGCGTGCTTTCTCGTTGCTGAATCCGCATCATTCATATTTCCAACAGTTCGGATTTAATCTGTTGAGAAAGAAGGCAAAAAGTGTATATTTTATATATATATATATATATATATATATATATATATATATATATATATATATATATATATATATATATATATATATATATATATATATCTATATATATGTATATATATATATATATATATATATATATATATATATATATATATATATATATATATATATATATATATATATATATATATATATACATACACATACACATACATACATACATACATACACATATATATATATATATATATATATATATATATATATATATATATATATATATGTATGTGTATGTATGTATGTATGTATGTATGTATATACATATTTTAATCAACCATTTGATTCTACCCTTTTGACTTTGTTTGTTTAGTAATTGTTTATACTTTACATTAGCTTAATAAACTTTTGCACATCTCTCACACAAGTGTTGAGTTCTGTGGTGAACTGCTTGTATCAATGTAACTTTTATTATTTTGATTAAGCTGCATGCTCTAAGCTAAAGCATCTTCTGAAGAATTTTTATTTTTATGGTGCCACTAAAAATAACAACGACGATTATTACAATTTTTGCTGAATGTTTGTGGGATGAACTAGTTTGAACTTTTTTTATTAATTCTACACCAAATTCCACATATAATTACTTATGATTATTATTTTCATATTTCCCTATAAGCAAATATTGCTATACAGACCTTGCAGCTCATTGAGGGACCTGTTGTTGCTGCTGCAGTTGCTGCTGGTGCTACCTGCACCATGGCCTTGTAGAAGAGGCTGTGGGTGGGGAGGGCCAAACATGGAGTTTATCTGAGCACTGACTGGACCAGAAACAGAGCTCAAGACCTTGGGATTGGCTGAAGTTTGCTGGGTTGGTCTCTGCTGAAATGACTGACGGTTGGCTAATCGTTGACTCTCTGCTTGTTGATCTAAAACGTTAATGATTAATAGTTAATTCTGCTATTACATTAAAGACTTTACCCTCGGTTATAACACAGCAGTCTTTGGACAGAAATGCAGAGTGTCTTCAAATTAAGTCTGACCTTTAGTTAAGATTTATTTATGTTCAGCAAAGGTTTGTTTTAATTTATTACACGTAAAATAGTAACCCTTTACAAATGTCAAAATTTGATATGTAAGGGATAATGTAAAGCTATACTGGCTTATCAGATGTTGTATAAAACTGAAGGCTTTTATTCTACAGAAAACAATTTAACTGTTTTATACAAATTAAAGACACTTCAAAACATCAATAAAAACTATTATAAATAAAATGACTAAGATAACACTGGTTCTGCATTAGATGAGTGAGAAAGAAAGAAAAAGATCAAAGAAGCATCAATTCACCTCGATCATTTTCTCTTCTCCTTCTCCAAGAAAAACTCCTGGAATCAGTACCTTCAAGGAAAAGAAAAAATAAAACAAATAAATAAATAAATATATTAGTGCTGTCAAAATTAGTGCGCATGTGATTAATAACGCATGTGATTATTTGAAATAATGCATAAAAAAAAAATTAACACAGTTACAGTTTTTTTTTTTTATTTCCTGTTGTGGCCGTGGTGTGTTCAACATGCAAAGAAATATGGATAAGACCAAGGAAGCACTTTTTTAAGGCAAGTTTCAGTATAAAAAAAATTTAGGTCACATTACCAAGCTCTCCACCGTTTTCTCCTGAGTTTCATCTAATTTTGTATGTTTTATTTTTAACTTTCGACTTTTGTTTTAAATTTAATTTGATACCGCATGGCGAACGGAAAAAAAACCACCACATTTCGTGACTCGGTAGTCCTTTAAGGTAATCAAAAATCAATGTTTTACATGGTAGACTCTTAATAAGAGTATTATCTTAATTATATTAAAATCGCCCTCCAATGTTTCATTAAGTTTGACGTGTTTTCCGCTTTAACGCAAGTTTTGTAAAGTGTCTGCTTCACGTTGTTGTGTCAGAATCCTTAAGAATTACAGCCATACTTTAGAACGCTTAGTTTAAGAAAATTTGATAAACGTGATCATGCTTGTTGAATCTGAAGGGAGTGGCTCTGGCTGCGCTGTCCTGCACGCTGTGTATGCGTGTGTGTGTGTCTGTCTGTGAGCGCTTTGGTGTGACAACGCGTACCTGTATTTGCCACTGATGTACCGCTTGATACTTATTATGTCCTTGTCGCAGCACCAGTGGCCACAAAATTAGGCACTGAAATGCATATGCTGATTCAGTAATCTTGCTTGTGATCCTGCCTGTTCTCACTCTCAGCTCACATCATTCAAAACAAAAGGTCCACATTGTCCCCCGATAATGTCAACAGACTGGACTGTCTTAGCAACTATCTGAATGTAAAGGAGGACTAAGCAAAATTGTTTTTGCTTTATAATTAATGTTCTCAAATCACAGCAATACAACTTTTGAATGAGTACAATTGTTTGTATTCAATACATTATTATTACTATAATTTTCCATATTTGCAATGCCCGTACTTTGGTATTTTTTTGCAGTTCACTTAGAATCTAACTTGGAAATCAATGTTTTCTTTATTGGCATTGATTGTTTTAAAATTCAAATAGCACTAACATGCCTGTGTTTTTATTTCTGTAATAAATATGGCTGTAAAGCCAGGATCTTGATGGTTTATTGTGGGTATGTTGTTTACATGAAGAAATGTGTGTTATAAGTTGAACAAAAATTCTAATAATGAATTATATTTGGAATTTAAATATTTTTTGTCTTGTTTACATTACTTTTACATTTAAATAGCTAAAATTACAAGTTTTCAGTCTTTTTAATGTGGTGAAATCGGGTTGAAGGGGAGGAACGATAGATAGTAACTTTAAAAGCTGTTTGTCAATTTTACTAATTTGCGTGGGTGTTTATGGATGAGAAAACATGAATGCCACATCACCTGGCAGTTCGTTAGATTAGTTGTGTTTCATGTAACTGTTACCCGTTATGATATATGTATGTGTTTGATAAAATACTGTTCAAAAATCTAAATTAAAATTTCAAACTGACACGCAAAAGAAAACATACAAATAATACCTACTTTAAACCTTTTTTTTTGGAAAATACTAGTGGCTTAATGTTTTTTTTTTTTTGACGAAATCTGTATCCAAACTAGATTAGTATGGCCTGAACTGTTTGATGGGTGTACTTACATAATATTGATTTTATACATATTTAATAACTAAACAAAAGCATGGTTAATAAATTAAAGTTCATGAGTTTAGGTACAAAATAAAATGTAACATTCCACTATTTTTGAAATGACAAATACCATGAACTAACTTTTCTGGTAACTAAATTAGCTCAGTTTCACTCTTATTCTCTTTCTCACCATTGCTTTCTTGACTCTTAGTAGAAAAGATGAACCGATCGAGCTGACAGCGCAAGAAGTCTCTCTCCTCCTCCAGGTCTTCGATGCGTTTCTGCAACCATGAATTTTTCTCCAGAGAGATCTGCAGTTGTGTCCGCAAGTTAGTGATTAAGAGGTAGGAGCTGCTTGGTGCTGGTGGATCACCACCTGTTTAACAACAAGATCAAATATAATTACATAGCACTAATATTAGAGAATAGTTCACTCAAACTGAACATTCTTTGATCCTTTACCCATGTG